TCATTGAAAACTTCAAGGTTAATGTTGGCCTCTAATTTCAACAGTACTCTCCCATACTTGGCAATACTATTTTAAATGTACAATTTTTCTTCTGTCATTAGAGAGCCATAAGAGTGCGGAGTCACTCTTTCGAGACCCTCGGGGTGCCCAGGAGGATTGGAGGTAGTGCATCACAGAGGCCCAAGGTAACAATTCACAAATGTGACGCTTTACTGAATAAATACTTATTGAAAGGTTTGTGCTAATGTTATTTTCTATCTTCCTTTACAGGCAGAGAAAGATGGAGAAGGGTAAGAGTGACGAAAAAAGTTAAAAATGTTGTTTTTTGAATGACTTAAGGTTGAAACACAGATAACAGTTTTTATTTTATTTTCAGTGACAGATCTCCAGGTCCTCTGCCAGCTGACAGTCTGGGGCCGTCTGAGATCAAAGATCAAGCCAGTCCTCAAGAAGACACATAAAGGGAAATATCTATTAGAAGATTTAAAATATTATATGGTTACTACTTTATTATCCTGCTGGGAGGCTTAAATGTAAATAGAGTGTAAAAGTAAAAAGTATATCTGAGAATGTAATTATTTTATTGTTATAGCAGTAATGTTGTACAAAGTATTTACAGTGTTTTAAAATGAAATGTTAAAGATATAAAACTGGCTTGAGTAAATGTTGTAAGTCTATACTGGTGAGTTGTTATAATAAACAGTTTTACTTCATTGAGGGGGGGGGGACAGGGGAGAGGAACAGCAGAGGAAAGTAAATGAAATGATAGCGATTACTTTAATGATAAATATAGGGGTAATGATACCAGTAAATATAAAAATATAGTAACTAGCAAGATAATTGATTGTGACATATTAAGAAACAAACAAGTTATAATAAAATGAAATCAAGCAGAACAGGTGTGGTAGAATATACCACCAGTAATGGAAGAAGTAATCGGAAATCTTACATAGGGCTATATAAAAAATTATTAAATAATAACAATACAGATAAAATATCCATTTAATTTTAGCTAAAAGAAACAAGCTCATTGGAAAAAATGTGGTTTTGAACTGTTTATTATTATCATTGTCAGTATATATAGAGCATGTGTTTAAGTTTCAGAAAATATGTATCAGAGAGAATGTACATGATGGAAGAAATAAAGAGATAGGGACGAACAGGATCAGGAGTGAATACAGGACTGTGTTTGATGAGATAATTAACATATAACAAACAGAGAGAAGGCTATCATGGTGACCTTACAGGCTGTGCAAGGTGAAGTCGGATCAGACTGCGAACTATACAGCAACCAACAAGTAAGCTAAAGAGTAGTACAAGTTTTGTTACAAGTCTGATCCCATACATGTGCATTTCACAATAAAATAGCCTAAACACGCAATTATTTCAGGTCCTGACAGAAGCTATTGTTGTAGCTGAAAGGTTAAATGAAATGATGAAAGAGACTAGCTATTTTGAATGCTGTATCAATTATTTCAACCAAAGCAACTAGCATACATACAAATGCAGCAAAGTAATTGGGAACATAAGTTAAATTAACAAAGTTAAAATAATAATCAAATCACATTTCAAAGGTAGATCAGTTATGGGCCTTTAAATGATTTTCAATATTTTCGAAAAAATAGAATAATTGTTGATTTAATAAATCCTTTTTTAACCCATAAGCAAGTTCAGCATTTCTGCTGTAGTACTATGCTAACTCCAGAGGGTGGCAGGAGTGCAGTATTCAGGATGCAACCAGGATGCAACCCGTCGTAAAAATCAAACGAAGAAGAAATAACATAATCCTTACCCTCGGTGCGGACTATGGTACTACAGAGTTTATGGTACAGACCAGACCAGTCAGAAAAGTTTAGCTAATTTGCAGCTAGATACAATTCATACGGATTAAAAAAAACACATGCTAACAACGTTTCAAGCTAAGGTAATTTCCGTCACTGTTTTGACTTAAAACAACACCATAGACTGCATTTATAACACTGGACAGGCAGCCCTGTGTGGAGTTATTGAACTTTGACACACTGAGCAGGGCACACTGACACTCTCTATTAACTTTTAACTTGACATTATATTTAAGCAAAGACAACAGTGAAAGCCTCTAACCTCTGCAGACCTGAAGATGACATCAAAGAAAGTGATCGAGTTGTTTTACGATGTGGTTTCTCCCTACTCCTGGCTTGGCTTTGAGGTTTGTTTTTAAGTTTCGATCACACAGACTTGGTTAACAACTAGACCAAAGACATGAATAAAGAAACGTGTTTATGTTTGTGTTTACAGGTCATGTGCCGCTACAGAACCGTGTGGAACATAGAGCTCAAACTGCGACCTACATTTTTGGGAGGCATCATGCAAGGATCAGGTAAATAAACAGTGGTGCAAAGTAACGGAGTACATTTACTCAATTACTATAGCAATTTTGAGATATTTGTACCTCACTTTAGCATTTCCATTTTCTGCAACTTAAAACTATTACTTTACTGCATTTTGTGTTTGCATTATGTCCTGTGTTTGCACGTGTGTACTAGTGTACTCTTTTAAAAGAACATCATTGTGAACATTTGGTTTCCCCTTGGTGGATTAATAAAGTATGTTTTATCTGCGTTGACTTGAAATGTGTTAAAGACTCAGATTCATTAAGCAAAATCTAATCAACAAATAAAACTTAATATTGTATTGTAAAAAGTTAGGATAAGCTGTCAGGCTACAAGAGATTGAGCTCGTTTTTTTTCATAAAATATTTATCTTTCTTGACAGGTAACAAGCCCCCTGGTCTGGTTCCAAACAAATTCCTGTACATGACCAAGGATCTGAACCGCTTGTCAGAGTATTTTAATGTTCCCCTGCGATCTCCCTCTGACCCCTTTGAGGCCATGTTCCAAAAAGGTACATGATGTGTATTCATTCAAACCATGGCTGGATTCAGTGTTTGCACAAGAGCGGTACTACTTCTGACTGGGCAAAGCTAGTAATGCAACAGCGTCCATGTCTTCTTCTGTTTTCTTCTCCTAGGCTCTTTGAATGCAATGCGGTTTGTGACAGCCGTACAAGAGAAGGGGAAGGGTGGAGACGAGCAGGTGGAGCGGGTGTCCAGGGAGCTGTGGAGAAGGATCTGGTATGAGGACAAAGACATCACCGAGCCTGCATCACTGTCTGAGGTACCATCTTATCTAGTCTGGTGCTGTCTGAGAAGATTAAAGCTAGGGTACTATGCATACTTCAGAAGTAAATAGTCATGCAGTCACAGTGGTTTTTTGTTGTTGTTTTGTTTATGCAGGCAGGAATAAAAGCAGGACTGTCTGACAGCGAGATTAAGGAATTACTGGAGCTGTCCAACTCGAAGGAGATCAAAAACAAGCTGAAAAGCTCAACACAGAATGCCCTGGATTATGGGGTCAGCTTTCCTTCAGTTTTTTCTTTAACATTCATGAAGATTCAACATTATTAACTGAATGACCAAACTCTCTCCTATTTCTTCTTTCCAGGCATTTGGCTTCCCCCTTGTGGTGTGTCACTTAAATGGAAAACCAGAGATGTTCTTTGGGTCTGACCGATTTGAGCTCATGGCCCATTGTATTGGTAAGTTTTACTGTGCAGCAATCACAAGCACATGTAATGTAGAAGCAACAAACTAAAGATTAAAATGACATTGGCATATACTTATTTTAAGGGATTTTGACAAACATTTGACAACTTTACACACTGTGATGTAGGTGGCTTTTGTCGTTTGGTTAAAACTGAAGCTGTTTAGGATTCTTCTTAATTCTCATGCTGTTCTCTGTTGCAGGGGAGAAGTGGCTGGGACCTCTGCCGGACAAACCAGCTGCCAAGCTTTGAGATACACAGATGCCTTTGAACACCATGGCGGTGCTTCCATATTCGTATTTCAATGATGCATTTTATTTTTCAAATTTCATATTTCTGTGCCTTCTGACAATAAGCAGTGTTTTCCCAATATCCTCCTGGGACCCGAGGAAAAAAAGTGTCTTCTAATTTCATTTTTTTTGTGATTTCCTACCTATTTAGGGTTAAAAAAAACATCTTGCAATTTAGACTTTATTTTATTTTATTTGAAAATGTTACAGTATGTCCACTGTAGAGGACGTCGGGACCATATTAGTTTGAAAAGACAGCCAAAATTAACAGATAGACTATGGTTACATAGTCTATCTGTTAATTTTGGCTGTCTTTTCAAACTAATATGGTCCCGACGTCCTCTACAGTGGACATACTGTAACATTTTCAAATAAAATAAAATAANTATGAGAAACCAATGTGCGTTTGGAAAATTGCACAATAAAAATCTATACCTCAACAATGGAATTATGATCAGTAGAAATTGCCATGACATATGGGACCTTTAAAATATATAATGTTGGTAATGTTATACTGCATAAATGCTCAAATGCTGATAGTTGATAATTGAGTATTAATTGAATATGATTGATATACAAGTTATCGAGAGACATACAACGACAACCTACCTACTGAAATCATGCGAGAACAAAAGCTGCTTGTTGTATCCATAGGTTGTATCCAGCAGCATCGCAACGCTTTTCCAGATTGCATTAACTTGAATCTGACCGGAAATGAAAAAAAATGTGGCATTTAAAAATAACCTTCAATCTAAACTTAACTTTTCTTTTCATTACAATACAGTATGATGAACTGGCAATATACTTGTCAATTCAGATGAAGTTTCCTACGCACTCCCCCCACATCTCAGGGGCAAGCATTTTACTATTCTGAAGAAAAAAAGCTCTAGACTACTTAGTTATTCGCTTCTCTGGGGATCTAGAGGCCTTTTACTTTCTCACCTTTAGAACTAAGACATCTGAAAACAGTTATGTTATAGACAAATATGTCAGCCCAATGCCCAATTATATGCACCTTAGAAGCTTTTTGGTAAAATAAACTAATAAAACCTACACTAAAGTTTTTGTTTTATTTTGAAAACATTCAACGGAAACACTCCATTAAACGGTTCCAGCTTTACAGTGCTGTTTTTCTAAATATCCATCCACGTGCCCGCTATTTTGCCTCCCCGCCCGATCAGCGGGGAATGGAGCGTTTTAGAAATTACCTGCCGTGACCCCTCACCCACCAGCTGATGGAGGATCACCACAAAAAGATGCAAAGCGATAGTTGTGACCCAGACAGGCCCACTCATCCCGGGACTTTCCCAACCTGTGAGGCCGGGAGGAGCGACCACCAGCCGGCGGAAAGCAGCGTCGACTTCCCGGTGTCAGTCGTTCTCCCTGCCGGAGGCACCGGGGAAAGAACCGGTCTACAGACACCGAAACAGTTCTGCCTGTTTATGGGTCGGCCGCTCATAAGCTACACCATACAGGCTTTCGAGAGGTAGGAGAATTAAAAGGAGTACATTTAAAATGTCATAATCCCCTTTTGTGAACATATGCAACCTGCAGGTAGGCTACAGGTGTAAGTTACGTTGGTGACAACAGGTCCTTCACTTTCTCTAACGGCCGGTGTGTGGCGTGTGTCCGTGTGGACCATTATGGTGTGGACCGTTAGCTTAATGTAACTAAGTACATTTATTCAAGTAATTTTACTGTACTTGAGTTCAAATAAGAGGTACTCATACTCTCTTTGCACACCCCTTTCTATCCACTACAATTCGGAGTGAACATTATGCAAGTTTGTGCATGAAAAGTTTATCAAATATGATGTTTTGTCATAAATGAAACCCCCTTCATTGTCTGTTTTTATAAATGACATATTAACTAAATGTACATTACAATACACACATCAATACATACACAAATGTCTGTCTTTACATTTTAATTTAAAATGACAAGTACTACAAATCTATAGGCAAAGATTTGTAATAATCCTGGCACTGAGTTTCCAAAATGGCCTCATAGCCTGCTCTGAGAGATTAGTGATACCTACCATGGGATGGACAAAGCTCAGGATTTACACTTTTATGTAATTTTATGGTTTATAATATTGCCCATCTGCAGGTGGACAGAGAAAACCAGGGCAGCGTTATTCTTAAACATCAGATTCATGTTTATTATGTGCACTTCTAAAGTACGTCAGGATTTGTAAGGTGCTATGAAAATCAATCTTACTAGCCTACTTACTTTTGTTAAGTGTACTATTATCAATCTTATTTAACAATGTATCAAATCATTGATACATAATGATGAAGAGAGGATGGATGTCTACACTGTGTTATGATCATTGCCTGTCCTTCATTACAACATTAGTACAATAACAACCGGTTTGATAATCCGATGTGTCTGCTCTTAGCTTTTTGACAGTGTTCACATGTTGTCGGGAAATGAACTACTTCCTGCAACATCTTGGGTCTAGACAGCAGGATGCAGATGCTCCCTGCATCTGTGTGGCCTGAGTGCTTACAAGAAGTTAAAATAGGTCATCAGTGTCAGTACTGATTAGTGGTTGATTTGGATCAATAATCCAAGCTGGGTGATTTAAAAGTAGGGCCGCATGGGTCTGTAATTGGCTCTAGATGCATGATAATATATTATTATTTGACAATGTTGAGACTTTTTGATTATTTAGGCAAAGTAATTTATGTAAAGAATAGCTCAGCACTCTGGGAACTACGCTAATTTGATTTCCCTCTCCTGTTTGAATGCTAAATATGATGTCAAAGCCAACAGACACTTAGCTTAGTTTAGTAGAACAACAAAACCACAACTTTCAAACACCTTTTGTATTGTACTTTTGCTGGTTTTAACTTTTTCTCAGTTGTATTTCTTATTTAAACCAAATATCTTTGGGTTTGGACTCTTGGTTGCCCAATACAAGCATTTTCAACTTTAAACAGGCCTTTTCAACATTCTTCAGATGAAACAAGCAAATAAATCAATAGATTAGTTACAGCCATAATTCCTATATGTAAAAAAACTATAGTAGGTGTTATGTTCTGCCTACCCTCCTTGGTTATTATGACTTCTCACCTGACAAAACAAACGTTGCTGAGTGGACTCTGTGTTTTGCAGGGTGTCATGGATCCAGAGCATTGTGGTCGTTGTTGCCAGAGAACACATGGACCTCATGACGGACATCGTCCAGCAGTTCCAGCACACGAAGGTTCGAGTGGTGCCAGGCGGCTCGACTCGCCACAGGTCGATATATAACGGAGTCCTGGCTCTGGGGGAGGAGGGGAGGCCGGTGGCGGACAAACCGAAGGTGGTCCTCATCCACGATGCTGTGCGGCCTTTTGTGGAGGAGGATTTTCTGTACAAGATAGCCATGGCTGCCAAGGAACAAGGAGTCAGTATGATAACAGCTAGTATATCTCACATAATATAAAAATGTATATATGTTTGTGTTTTTGTCTGTTGACACCTTTTTAAAGACAACAACTTGGAATTATGGAAACTGGAATTTATATGTTTTCTAAACCATTAGCTGGATTTATCAAGAAAGTAAAGAAATCACAATCTCCTGGAAAAGTGGGCATTTATCACTATTTTTAGGCAATTGAGACAAAATAGTCTACTATTTAAAAATTAAATCGTGAAAATAATTGTTAGATGCAGCATGAAAACACATGCTGATTTTGAGCCCAGTTTCCAGATTGTCTGATTTTAAACCTTGCAGAGGTACCAAGAGGGTGTAGCATTTTCTTTTTTTTATTTCTACAGAAATCTATGGAAATTGGGCCTTTGCTCACTGCAATTAGTTCAATGCTGCCACGAGGAAGCATTTAAAGCTCAGTTAATGTCAGAACTTGGAAATTATCATAATTAAAATGATCTGCAATTATCTTTTATGTAAACATAGCTTGTAAATATTTAACTTTTATGGATAGCCTGTGTTTCCTCATCGTAATGCATCTACAAATTGAGGAAACAACCCCAAAATGCCAGTAGTTCCTCATGCTTGGAAAGCGAAGTTAAACTAATTAATTCTCGACTGTAGCTCTTTTCTTCATCTAACTTTTGCTGAAAACCAGAGAAGGTCAATTACAGAACAATTCAAACAAAATCCATCATGGTCAGCTGCAGTTTAAAGAATCAAAACTCGCACCTTATGGGATGACAAGTTACCAACTGCAACACGTCTTATTTGTTTGTGCAAACCCGTGCTTCATTTTTCAACGTGCAGTGTGAACATAATTAAACCAAACACTAAAAGTACAACAACGTTTTCTTGTCAGCTTTGACCAAAGAAGACAAACAGTTCTTGTGATTACACCTTAAGGTCTTTCCATATTTTTTGAGAAACTGTTTATCAATTTGACAGATCCATCGCTCCCGGTGGTGAGGTTTATTTCATCAGTGATGGATGGAAAACATTCAGGCCGAAGTTACGCCTGCCGTGACGACCTTACTTGCAGATTAGTCTCATATTGATTCATGACTGAGACTCTGTTCAATGCAGGTCACAAAGGTTGTGAAGAAAGCAAGAGCTCCCTGACGTGAGGGCAACATTAATGGTGTGTTTGAGAGTGTGTGTGTGCTTTGTGATGAACTTTCACAGCAGGCGGTCTGGTCTTCATTATCCTGCCAGTGTCCACGCTCATGGCAAGGAGCCCGTCTCCACTGAAAAGCAGCAGATTCATTTTGATTTTAACAGCATGTGTAACACGCAGAACACATGTTTGCTTTCATTTCATTTGCGAGACGTTCCTCGCGCACGGGCTCGCTGAGCGTCAACTCTTAGAAACTGCCTTCCATCTATCATGCTGTCGGGAGACAAAAATATTCTCTCACAAATGTGGATTATTTTCTATTTCCAAGAGGTACAAGCAGTGTGCACTACAGCTGTTAGGATGGATTTTATATTACTGTGTAATATGGCTGCTGACTCAAAGTATGACCGATTTGTTTCATGATTATATTATGATATTGTGCAGGATTTTAGTCTTTCAAAAAACACTGCAGATTTGCAATGATTGATTATTTCGAGTATTGTTTAATCTGCAAATCATTTCATAATATCTTTTTTTTATAAATGTATAAATAATTCAAATGTATTTTCCCATTATAGTCCATATTGATGTCTTGTATGATATCAACAGAGATACGCAGGAAATATCCATCTTTGAGAACTTTAAACCGGATATAGGGCGGTGGTGGCGAAGTCGATAGGGACTTGGCTTGGCAACTGGAAGGTCACCAGTTCAAGTTCAGGTGTCCCTGAGCAAGGCACCGTTCCCTACACTGCTCCCCGGGCGCCGTTCAAAATGGCAGCACACTGCTCCTAACACTAGGATGGGTCAAATGCAGAGAAACAATTTCCCCACAGGGATTAATAAAGTATATCAAAATAAAAAAAATAAAATATTTGACATTTTTGAATGAAAAATTAATTTCAATTGTTATCAGGATAGGTACCGATTATTTTTCTCTCGATTGATTAATCCATTATTTTCTTAATGATTGCAGGTCTTCATTTATTGAAACAAGATTGTTATGTTTTTACCACAACTTCAACAAAAACTGGTAGGAAAACTAAGATAAATTAATTTTGACTTTCATAGTTTGTTTACTGTCAAACTTTATTAAAAAATAAATTGACAACATCAACATGTATGTGTTGTTAATAAAAGCTGATCTGTGAGCTGACTGTATCATAACACCCATCAAGCGCCAAGTCAGCAATATGTTTTAGATAATTGATTAAATCATTGTACATTGGGGAAAAAAAGTATTTGGTCAGCCACCAATTGTGCAAGTTCTCCCACTTAAAAAGATGAGAGAGGCCTGTAATTGTCATCCTAGGTATGAACTATCTAACTGTTAGTATACACTGTAGGGACTCCGTAGAGGTGACCGAGACATGAAAGGAGCGAGCTCTCTTCTACCAGGTCCCATCGGAGACTACACCACCGATAGTGGGTCACCTTGCTCCTCCGAGCCTATCGAAGGACGACGGACCCTCGGCTTTTTTTTGTTACTATAAATCATAAACAATTCTCTTATGTTATTTTCTATCTATAAATATACGTGATTGTTCGAGTTAGACACATAAGTATATGTCACCCCGTTTTGTTCATAATATCAGTCGGTGGTTAACACCCTTTCAAGAGGGTGAATTTTTCTACTCTCTCCGGGACATTAAAAGTAGGATCCATATGGAGTTGATACTCTCTGTTTTACTCTTCTTTTTTTTAGGTCTTTTTTAGTGTAACGAACTAAAAATTTCTGAAATAAACGGTTAATATCACCTTTTATTTCATAAACCAGTTATTGTTTTCAAAGTAGGTTATGAAACACATTTGGGAAACCAACCTTTACCTGTCTCAGTTTGCAAAAGACATTCAGAAGTGATACCAAAAGTGTTGTGACAACAACCATCAAACCGTGTAAGGAGGTACGTCTAGAGGAGAATCTCGTTCACTACAAAACATCCCCGACAGCGACCGGTGTGTCTCGAAAGTTGAGGTAGTTCTAAAAGGAATACCCCAACTTCTAGACCTCTGACACCGGATCCCGGTTGAGGTTCCGTGGGAACTTTACGAAGAATGCTTCGGGCACGTGAGGAAAGCAACCGCGCCCAGAGCCACACAATACCGCTAGTAACGCTAGTACGACTTCTGGGTCGGTGGCAAAAGTATAAAGGTACGGGAACAGACTACCTTCCTCCAACCAGTGAGTTTTAGAGTCCTATGGTACCGTGGGTAAGTAAGAAAAGGAAATGCGCCTAGTCAGCAGGACAAGGAACAGGTCTTTTGTCGGGGTTTCGTACTACTACAAGGTGGGGGGTACAACAGTGTCAATCCAATACCACAAGAAACCTACGTTGAGTCGCAAGAAAAGAGGAGGCTTTGTGCAGATCAACTCAAAAAATGGTTTTTCAAGATAAAACCAAAAGTAGACTGGTATACTGCTAAGAGGGTTAGAGGAAAGACCTTAGTAGATTTACGAGAGACACATCGTTTGAGCCTGCCCGGACCTGTACATGACCGAATTCGTCCCCCTGTGCAGACCGTGACGTCACTAAAACTCAGGGGACGCCGCAATCACACAAATGACTACCATCGGAAACAATGAAACCAGGGTCGGAGAGACGTCCAGTAACTGATCCCAGGGGGGGCACCAAGACCTAAAAACGAGTGGCAAGAACACTAGTAAAACTGGGGTGCCCCACTCTAGAACGCACCCTTGGGGTCTAGCTCCCTCTATATACTAGTTCACCAGAACATACAGAAGGTAAAAGATTATAACGAGGAGGTGTCAACTAAATAAGTGTGGTTTCGACGAATGGATAACGTCTAAGTCGAGAAGCGGTCGGACCAACGTCCAGATGTTAAAAACAAAGACCATAGGAAAACGGGCGAGAAACCAGAAACCGGTATCACCTCAAACCTCACACTGACAAACTCCAACACCTGTCCACAGAAAATATGACATTGCCTAAGTTTTGTTAACGGAAATTATGTCAATTGTTCACCTCCTGTCTCCTCCGGAGAATTTTCTTCTTCAATGTCCAGACACTCTCGGTCTTTAGAACAAACCAAAAGAAAAAAAAACCAATAACTTGGTTTATGAATAAAAGGTGGTAATTAAACGGTTTCTTTCAGAAAATTTTTAGTCTGTTACACTAAAAGGACAAAAAAAAAAAGAGTAAAACAGAGAGTATNAATAAGTAATTGATCTGAACATTGCTGTTTATTTGGTCACTAAAAAACTAGTTTGGTTTTTGGTGAATCTTTCCAGATCTTCAAAGACTTTGTAGTCAATGTAGTGGGAGATGTACCTCATTGACTCCAGTCGGCACAGGCTGTAGGGCCATCTTGACTAGTTTGATGGATGTGGTCTCCATTTGACCTGCTCATAGAAACAAAGCTTGCATTCCTGAGGCAATTCTCATTTTTCATGGCTCCACTTAAAATAAAAACAACAATAAGAAATACAGTACGTGCTACTCTTGGCCCACAGAGGGCCATGTCTTTCCAGCTCGTCCCTATCTGTCTCTCTGTCTGTATCTGTGCGCTCATGGAGCCTCCTGCATCTTTCCCCCCCTTCTTCTTGACCCTCTTCTATCCCAGGTGTGAAATCATCATCTCTCTCATCATCTGAGAGCTCAAAATCTGAATCTCCCTGAACTATCTGGTACAGAAAATGTCTGCTTCAGTTCCGTCTCCTGCAACAATATTGAGTCATAAAGTCCATGAAGATGGTCCTGACGTCCACTAGAATGGACATTTATAAAAGAGCTGTTATTTGAAAACTTGAATTATTTAATTTCTTTCAGAACTAATTATATAGTTCCTCACATGTTAATAAACAAGAATATATATGATTTTCATGGTAAAAATTACAATTATTCAACAATATTTGACTTCTCCTCATGTTGTTTTTGTATGCCAGCCATTTTGGATGAAAAGAAAGAGGAACTTCCCAGCATGCAATTTTGGCCAATGACATATCACTGGAAAGACCAGGATGT